CGTTTAATTACGTCATAATCGTGACGTCGGGAGTCCAATGCCTATTATCCCAAAAAAGAAACGGGCACACTTTCCATAATAATGGTCCGATTTTCAAAAGAAAAACATCACTCATTTTGTTTTAAAGAGTTCTGTAACTTGCTATTGGGGAAACCTGATTAAAATTGAAAGCAGTTTCAATCTTACATGCATAACTCAAGCAGGAGGTTGGCGGGTACTCTGGGGTGTGGTTTGTTCCTTTTTTCCCTATTAAAAATCAACGGTCCTTATCTCTCCTCGTTATTTTCTGTGCATGTTACTCTCTAGTAACACCTCTAATCCTCGGAGCTTATATGACCTATTTGTGTTGGAAGTGCCGTTAAACCCAAGCATAACACAGACTTGAAGAATATGAAAAAAATTCAACGAGTATGGTATAAAGCGGGAAATCACCATAGAATATGACAATTACTGAGGGCCCTCACATACATATATATATATATATATATATATATATATATATATATATATATATATCTATATATATATATATATATATATATATACACCATGCAATGATTCATATCCCAAAGAACAGGGACGCTAGTTCTATGATCAACTGAGTGACCTTTTAAACACCGTCGTCAATGATGGGGTACTTTAACGGCAGAGTGGAAACAAGGAAGACGACGTGGGAGAGATACATGCGGCCACACAGTGACAGGGAAACAGATCGAAACAGCAATGGAGAAATGCTATTACAGTTGTGTGCATAATATGAGCTCGTCATATCAATTACCTTCTTCCAACACAAAAGGAGTCAAGTTAAAACTTGGTACAAATGCAATGATCTAAAGATAGCATCACAAATTGATTTTATCCTAGCCTAAAGATCGAAACTGAGAAAAATCAGAGACTCAAGAGTGATTCCCATCTACACCACAGACTCTTACCACAGACTAGTCATCATCACTATTGACACACCAAACCGGAAAAGGCCAGAAGCAAAGAAACGATGAGAAGTCGTAAATCTCAGAAATATAAATGACAATAACAAGGATAAGATACATGAACGTTTGAAAGATGTATTTCACAAATTTCTCCCAAAATTGGGAGACATGGAAGAGGAATAGAGCCACTTCAAAGCATGTGTGTACAGAGCATTAAAAGATGAGTTCGGCACCAGGAAAACAAGAGAGCAGAAAAAGAAAACAACTATATGGTGGAATGACCAAGTGAAGGACGCCGTCCAACTGAAGAAAAAGGCATTCAAAAAGTGGTAGAAATCAAAGACGGAGGAAGATTACATCCTATACAGAAAGGACCGCCGCTATACATCAAGGGTAGTAAAAGAAGCTAAGAACAGATCCTGGTCAGTATATGGAGAACAGCTGGTAACAAAATGTAAAGAAAACCCTTGAGAGTTTTACTAGAGAGTTAAAAAAGCATGAGGATCCAGGAAGAACCATTCAACCAAACTGAAATAGTCAATGATGAGCACGGAAAACCCTATTTTCAGAAAGCCAAAGATTAAGGAAAGATAGAAACGCTATTTCCAGGAGCTGCTGAATCCTACAGCAGAAACAAGAGCAAACAGCTTCCCACCGAAAGAAACCACTCCAGAACCATCACTACTGCTGAGTGAAACCCAACATGTCATAAAGAAAAGCCCCACAAACGAAAGCGATAGGCGTTGAAAACATCACAGCAGAAGAGATCAAACTATACGGCCATATCGGAGAACTCTGGCTATGGAGGATATTTAACCTGGCCTGGGCGACAAAAACAACACAGAGCCTACAGAGGAATAGATTCTATCCCTTCTCAGCCGTGTGGATATAACGGTTGCCAAGATACTGGAAATGAGAATGAGACCAATTGTAGACACTCAACTCAGTGAATCCCAGTTTGGCTTCAGAAAAGGCAAGGGCTGCACTGACGGTTTTTTTTTGCATTCGGACAGTTGTGTGAGACTGCCATTGGACATGACAAGACCTCAATTTCGTCTTCGTGGACCACGGAAAGGCGTTCGACAGGGTATATCGCCCAGGGGGGTAGTCTTAGAGTAATATGGTGTTAAAGGACAATTGCTCAAGAACATCATGGCACTTTATAAAAACAGCCT